GATCGAGGCGATCCTCTTGTAGAATGATGATGACTAATTGCAGCCACGCCCCTTCCTCCCGGTAATGAGGAACGCCCCGCAGGGAACGCCCCGCAGAGAACACCCGATCCGGTGTTTCGGTGCTGGGGTGACATTTTATTTACGATACAGCACTGTAGCGCATTGAATGTAGGCTCTTTTAAAGGGGACCGGTCAGAACCGAATTACAGCTGTCGTGGATTCCGGTGGTCTTATCGCATACTGTTACTGTAATAATTTCCAATTGTTTTACAGTAAAGTTTGATAAGTTATTGAAATTGTCCTCGAGTGAAATTTAGCAAATAATTTCTTCGCAAAATTCAGCATATGGCTGGTGGAAGTGTGTTCAGGTCCACGACCACACCCCTTCCACTGCGTCAGCTTGGGCGTCTCTTCGCCAGATGGCGGCAGCGACAGGGCACCGCGAGCCTCGCGCCGCCCGCGGGTTGCGACGGCTGCCGCCGGGGGGCGCTAGCAGGTCGGGGCCGCCGAACTCGCGCCTTGTCTTTCAAAACGTCTCCGCACGTCGCAAAATAATAAAACAAAAAAAAATATACTCAAATAATGATTGCGAAATTAAAGAAGACATTCTTCACTCTCGAATCCTTCTCTAAAAATGCAAGGAGCCGCTTCCTATTTCATTTTTAGAGAACAAGTTCGCGAATTTAATCTCTGTTCTGTGAAACCCTTTTTAATTTTGCAACATTCTTTCATAATTGTTAAAAAATTACCATCGACAAACGATGTTCATGTTCTAAATATCGGATCGGTATCGTAAATCCAGGCCTCTTCACTAAATGTACCTAAATAGCCGTGTCAGCTAAGTCTAACTCTCGTTTTCTTTCTCTGGTGTCTGCAGGTAAGGTGCCGAGATGCCGTGCTCTTGCTTGTCGTGCAAAGCAGGAGGACACGAAAGTCCTGCTGAGCGAGGTCCCGGCCGAGGTCACCTGGTGAGTCTTTGGGCTAGCGTGCGGGCAAGCGCGGGCGGTGAAGCCCTGCGAGTGCGTGAAAGACGGTCATATGAACAGCCCCTAGTTAGCCAGCCACTTGATGGCGTGGGGACGCGGTGCGCGTCGCACTTTTGGGTTTGCGATCCTTGTACGGCGCGACGCGTGGAAGGCGCTCTCATTGCCTCCTGAGGCACTCACTCCCTAGCGACAGTGGGTGTGACCCAGTCCCGCTCCTGTCGCTCGGAGCAGGATGCAGAAGAGGGAAAAAGTAAAAATAATACCTTTTTGCTTATACTAGTATACAGCTGTTCTCGATGCACGCTTGATGAACCTAAATGCAAAAGTGTGTGTGTGTGTGTGTGTGTGTGAAAAGGAAAGGGAAAAGAAGGAAGGGGAGAGGGGGGCTTAGCGGGATCTGAGTGGGGGCGTCCGCGTTCTCAAATTATCAGCATTGTGCCAAAGCTGCTGCTCGTGGT